CTTTCATATGCATCTATTGGATTCATTTTATGTATTATAGTTTTTGAGAAAATCAATGAAATGTAAAAACACTAATTTTTCGAGCAATTTTTATACTTTGAACACGAATTACATCCAAACGGCTGAAACCACAGTAATATATAGATACTTGCTATATGCCCCAAACATTCAGCTTTCATATGCATCTTTTGGATTCATTCTATCTATTATAGTTTTCGAGTAAATCAATGAAATGTGAAAACAATGCTTTTTCGAACGTTCTAATTTCAATTTTTCAACTTTGAACGCGTATTACAGTAATATGGAAAAGAGCACAGGAATGTATCTATACTTGCTGGATTCCCCAAACATTCAGCTTTCATATGCATATATTGGATTCATTCTATCTATTATAGTTTAATATTGATTTACATTATATTTTTGGGAAAGAGCACAGGAGATTTGGTGCATTAAGTCAATGTGATTGGTTGAATAGTCGTTCTGGTCGGGGATTGCGTAAAGTACGGAGCGTCAGCGGTGGTTCTGAAGTAGAACGTGCCGGTGGCATTTCTGTCCACGTCTTCTCCGTAGATGGTCTTCTCGTTCATCGAACAAAGGTTTTTTTTGTACCTTATATAATTGTTGCATCTGTAGGCAACTTGGTCATCATCATTGATTGACTGTATGAAGTAGAGTTCACTGCGAGAGTGGCTGCAAGACAATGAAACTAAAAACAAACGATATAATAGCGAGTAAGCACACGTCTTCATAATCTTACAGTTTTGATTAAATTGAAAATCCTCGGTCACAAGAGTGCATCCTGGCTGCGGCCTGATGCCTCCGTTGGGCATGAAATCGACATTTCCGAGCGGGGCTGGGTATCCGAGAATCAACCTATCCGTATGGGTGACGTCCACGAAGTTGGCATCGCCGACGGCCAATCTATGCTTCGCACTCTTCGTTAAGAAACCCGGTCCAGCCGGATCCAATCCGCTGATCCTGTCGATCTTCTTGCCTATCAAATGCTGCACGTTCTTCCCGGCGAAGCCGCTCACGTGCCCTCCCAGAGAGTGCCCCACCAAGTGCACCTTCTCCAAGCCCAAACCCAAAGTCTTGTTTAGCTTCACGATGAACTCTGCAACGCTTTTACCTTTTAAAACAGAAGCGATCGATCAGTTTAAATTGATCAAACATTGGATGATCACACCTTACCGATTATCTTAGTGTTTTTCACCGAGGTCGGGTATAATTGCTTCGCCTCTTCCTTCCAATCCACCTGGATCACATTGCAATCGTACCGCAGCAGATAAGCGTCCGTCATATTCGTGTACCAACTACTATTGGAACTCGCCTTAAATCCGTGTATAATGAATTTGACGCTGAGATTCGCCTTCACCAAATGCACATTCTCATCAGTGATTTCCGTCTTCGAATTGGGCGATTGCCGATTCAACAGGTAAAACCTGGCGACGGCATCACCGCCACCTAAACAAAAAAAAACATTCCGAACTCCTGCAAAAGAAAAACAAAAACAAAATCCGATACTTACCAATGAAAATTAGAAGAACAAAAAGTAACATGTTCGAAGTTTCTTTGATTCTCCATTTTTCCTTCGAAGTTTTTATATGCCTTCATATAACGAAAGAATGCACTCTTTATCGAGGTTTCGCGTGCCAATCAAGAAAAATCCGATTGCCGGCATAACGTTTGAGATAGTCCTGTACTTAAAGTCGAAAAATAGAAATTGGAAAATTCTTTTTGGCGTGCACCGCATATTTACTGCAATTTGCAAAACTATAATCAGTTTAACAAAAACAACACAAAAAAATGGATCAACTTGTCACCGTTTCTGTGAATAGACTAGAAAAATAGACTTACTGGATTAGATTTCTGAAATTATAATAGAATATCAAACAAAAAAAAAACACCTTATCCAAAAGAAGTCCGCTTGAAATCTGAACTTTAGATGTCATTCCAAGCGATGATGAGGAATTCTTGAATTGGCTTATATCTTGAGATTTAACTACTTGGCAAATAACGCGTAATGAGACTTTACGATTAATTCAATCTTTTCATCTAATACTATATTATAATTTTCATTGTTTAATTTGAAACTAGTGTAACTAGTATATAATGCTAGTAATTGTTGTATCTATTGTAAATTTTATGATTTACATACTAAATTCATATCTTAATACGTTGCATTTGATTACAAATGTTTCGTTTAGATTCCCAGCGGTCGGGGAACCGGGGTAATAGGGAAATTTTTCTAATTTCATCTTACCAAACTCAGAGAGCGGTTCTCTCATAGTTTGTGCATCAAGATCTGAAAAGTAGTCA